GCGGTCAACTATGCGCTGATACAAGTTCACAGTAAAGGCCAAAAGGTATTAGCTTTACTTGGCACTGGATGTGAAGCGGAGAGAGAGACGCTTCGTGGCCTCCTCAACAACGCTCCCTTCATACATGATGAACGGGGTAGAGTCGGTGCCTCAGCAAGGTCAGGCAGAATCTTTATGTGGACGGCTGAGCAAAGCCGTCTAAAATCATGGTCCTGAGCATTCATTCCATCCTAGTGGCTTTGCAGCTGAATCATCACTAGCGAACGCGATCGAACCTTCAGCATAAAACAAGCAGAAATGGACAAATGCCAAGAAGTTCGCGGAAGCGCAAAATAATGACTAGCTGCCATCAGGCTAGCCACCTGCTGGTCGTCCAGCGAGCTGTATTCAGCAAAATCCTCGGGCAACCCACGGCTGTTTTCTGAAGTATTGGAATCCTCCACAGTGTGGGAAAAGGTAAGCTTCAAGCGGTTAATACTTTTTAAAGACGAAATGCAGGCACCGACTGATGCATTTGCGCGTATTTCGGCATTGGGGTCGAAAGAGGACGGAAGGTGGAGCATGGGCGTTACGCTGACTGCCCCTGAACAAGGCTAGTGTGGAGCAGACATTGTCGAGGCTTCTAATCGAATTAGGATGCACTGAATGGATAACAGTCTACGAGGCGTCTGGCATTACAGACAATGTAAAGTTGTCACGTTGTTTGGAGTTATCAATCCTCCTACTTAGTCGCAATGGCGTGCTAATCGGAAATTTTATGAGTCCTTGAAGGAGAACTATTGAATGGTTGTCAACATGGAGGACGTCTTAGTATTCAGCCAAAGCGTTCAAGAGTACGTAAAGCGTGCACTTGTGCTGTTGTGGGACAAGCGGTTGTACAGTGAAGCACTCAAGCTTCCGAATTCCATGAGAACAGATGTGTGTCAGGAGCTCGTGTCTTTCCTGCAGGAGTTGAGCCAGACCCTGTAAAGCGGTCATGGCGAGGCCTTTACCTTTACGCTACCGCATAGGCGTTGAGAAGCTTTGTGGGTTCATGTTGAACTCTGGTGTTATTGTCCCCTGAGAACACACGTCGATACTCTCTAGCTAACGCGTTGCAGCGGCTGGCGGGAGGGCGGTTTCGGGCTTCGTTTCCTTCGGAAAATTTTGCGGCTCTGCTGCTTACCAACTCTAGTCTCTGTAAAGCTCACCACTTGCCTCTGCAAGTAAATGTCCTTCCCTAACGCTTTCTCTGCCTGAAATAGCTACTTTGATTTTTGGATATTGGTTGAATCGGTGCCATTTATTATAGCTAAGGAGTGTTGTACCCTCGGATTTATGCACATAGGCTCTTAAGTATTCTGTACCTACATGATTCTGAATGCCTGTTTGGGCTGTGGATTTGTTTATGCTGCATACGCTGGCTGCATATATGCATGCAGAGATGGCTCTGTGGGGCGAGGAGGCAATGCAGAACTAGTGTGTGTTTCGACTCCCTTTACAGATCTTACTTGCCTTCTGCTTTCTCGCAGCAGTAGGCTTCCACGTCTCAGCGCTCTGATGCCTGCGAGGTGTCACGTTACAGGAATCGGTTCGGTTTAGTTCCTTGTTCGTTGTTGGCTTGTGGGTGTGTGTGTGTGCGTATGTGTGTCTTCGTTTCTGTTTTACTTTGCTGATAGATGCTTATGTCTGCTCCTCTTATTTATAATGTTTTTTTCATTCCTGCCTGCCGGGGGAGTGGAGATAGAGTGGAGCTTATTGCACTGTCCTCCAAGGGATTCGTTTAGACGTAAAGATGCGGAAACACGAGGACGCGCGTTCTGACAGGGAGGTAAGACAGCTGGATAAGCTACATTAAAACCCTCTTCGCTACACTGGTTTCGTATAACCGAGAATTGGCGAGGATTTGGCTAATTGACTCGTTTATTGGGTATTAGTAATCTCGACACTAGAAGACATAGGGGTGTATCCCTGTGTGCTAAGTACTGTGTGCCGCTTGCTATGGACGCTCAGAGTACTTAAGAGTTTGTAGCTACGAGCTCCCTAACTTTCCCTCTCCCCTCTTATCGGGGTAGACCTGTGGAGAAAACCGTCAGAGGAAGGCGGGAGACCTAATTTGAGAGATTTACCAGCTTCCATTTAAGTGTCTGCTGAGTCTGGAGTGCAATATCCCGTTCCGGGATGCCCCAGCATTGAATTCTCTGCAAACACATAGACAAGTGCGCGACAGAGCGTGTCTGAAACTCATTGCATGTACGGACTTCTTCTCCCGAGATTTTTCGTTGAAGCAAGAGACCAACGACCCGGTGCAGACAGGCAGTTGCAAGCTTCACATTTTTATTAGGGGGCCCAAGTTGGGGATTCTGCTCTACCGCCTTTAAAAATTTCTGCCCACATTCCAAGACCATACAGACCCATGCCCTGCAGCCAATTTAGAGCCCGAAGCTTTCTGAGGTTAACACTGTTGGAACAGTCCCACCCACCGGTGCATGCGTACCTCGATGATGGCTCACGGGCTCTTGGGGCCACAGAAAAGAATAATACATGCAAGGCAGCAAACAAACCTCTTTGTTCCTTCAAGCAATGCACTTCCTGGGTCCGTTGGACCCCGTTTTAGGAACTGCGTGTCGGCTTTTTCTTGATCTTTTCATGGGAATGGCGTAGGCTCCCCCTCCCGTACTCTTCTTCACCTACATGCAGGGCCGCTGGTGGCGTGCTCATCGTAATAAGACGTGTATTCAAGCACCTCATTGTCGTCAGGGCTTCCAGGGGCCTCAGAACGATAGTCTAAAAGCTCATAACTCCTCCCCTTTCTCACGCTTCTCCAATCCTCCACTTTTGAGGCTATTGGTTTTTATACAGCAGCTTCCGGTTCTTCTACACTGCCTCTGCTCTTTCGTTGGGCTCCTCAGGAGGTGAGCAGCGCCTTCTTTCTCATCCGGCTCTCCGCACGGTGGGCACGGTTCCCAGAGCCTTGGGGTCTGCAATGCAAGTCTGCTGTCGTTTCTGTGTTATGTACGGAGATGAGAGACCCTAAGAACTGGCATCTGCCACTGTTGTTGGTGGTCATTTTGGGCCTGATGGGATGCTCTGAGGGGCAGATCCGGCTACAGTCCCCCAAACGTCTGTTCGACAAGTTGGTAGCCATGAAGGCCATCTCCGAAGAGACTTTCTACACACTCACCGGCTCGACTGCATCTTTTGGAACTCCCACATACGGTACTATTCTCAGGTAATTGGATGCCTCTATCAATGCCGAATAGCAGCACAAGCGGAGGAAAACATGAGGCAGCAAGACGGGCAGTAAAAAACCAGTCTTCCCCTTTCTTTTTTTCCTTCTTTCGTTCTGTCTCTCTGTCTGTCCTTCTTCGTCTGTCCTTCTTCGTCTGTCTTTCTTTGTCTGATTTTCTCGCTCACTCTCTCTGTGGCTGGCCAGGAATGGGTCGCTCTTCCTAGCTCTCGCTCGTGCTGCGCTTTTTGAGGGATTGGAAGGCTTCCTGTTCATGCTGTACTGCCCATTAGTGAGTCCTCTCTCTCAGTCGCCACTCCCCTTTGGAATGTTTGGCTTTGCACCTGTAGGGGACGCGCATTTTATACTCCGGATCCTCGCCGCGTCGAGGCAGATGGCACTGAGGCTGGTTTTCACTGCGACTCCTCGTATTGCTCATCTTTAAAGTCAGAAATTGACTCCTGGAAGGCGAACGAGCTGCACGGAGGACTAGGACATGTATGCGTTCCAGCTGTGCGAACTGAACTTTCTGTCTTGAGTATTTTTTGCTTTGCGTGTTCTAAATGCCGAGATACATGGCCACCGCTCCTTGAGCACTTCCTCGTATTCTAGGGGAGATCTCGTTCCCCTGCCCACCAAGATTTCTGGCTGGGACGCTTTTCCTCTGTATTCTTCCGGCAACACGCAGTGCCCACCATTTGGCATCAACAGCTGCGATGGTGCGGCTAGCGTCTTTTGGTCCCTCATGTTTGTTTTGTGTAGCGCAAAAACACAGCGCATGCAGCCCCGTGTGTTCTGGGCTGCGTGTTCTGTGCTGCAGGTTGTGCTGTTTGTGGATAGGGGAATCTGCACCTTCGCAGCCAAGGTGGAAGTTGCACAAGGATGCGGCGCAGATGCTGTGGTGATCGTCGATCATGGCACGCAGGAATGGACAAGAGAAACCATCCGGCACAATATTATCATGAGCGATGATGGAAAGGTCAGGGTTCCTTTCAATGTGTCTACGTCTGTTCGAGTATGGGTGTCTATGTCTGTTCGCGTATGGGTGTTTGTGCGTATCGTATCCCTTACACACGCCTTGACCTTCGTTACCTTACTCCACTTTGCTTTTCTGATTCTGCTCTCGCGGCCTCTTAGAGCGTGTTTGCTGGCCGTTGCGGAGCACCTTGCGCCTTTCCATATATGCCACCGCATTGCTGTCGGCTGAGCGCCTCACCCTTTGTGTCTAGACTCAAGCATACTTCGGAGGTCCGAGGTGTGCTTGTGTCTAGGGAGGCAGAGCGCAGCATCGGCTTGTCAGGGAGAACTTCTTTCTATGGATAAGCTCGCTTCGCAGGCAGGTGAAGGCGAATGGGTAGGCGTCGCTTTGTGTGGTTCGCTGTGTACTGCAGGTGCGAAATATTCGCATTCCGTCGATTTTGGTGTCTAAACAGGACGGTGAGGCGTTCAAAGAAGAAATTGTTTCAGGAGAGGAACCCGTCCTCGTAGAGCTGGAATGGAGGATGCCTTCGCAGTGGCCAGTGGCAGTCAACTTCTGGGCAGATTCAGGAGACGTCAAGGGTAGGCTTTCCTTCTTTTCGTCTCGAGGCCGTACTTTGTTGCTGCCACTTTTTTCTTTCTTTGCCTGTCTTCCTTCCCGCGCGTCCGTCTTCCCCTCTTTCTTCTCGTGTACAGCTTTTGAGTGGCTTGAAGTGTCAAGCTGCTCAGAGGCCTCTACAAGGCTTGGATTTCTGCGTTGTATGCGCATGCAGCCACGGCATTTCTCCAGGCCATGGCACCCTACATGCTGCGGCTTGGGGCCGACGTGCGCTTCCAGATAATATACAACGTTTTCTCCCTTGAAGGCGGCTCAGAGGAGCTCTGTTTGTCTGAAGGCTTGTACTCCAAGTATCCTCGCTTGTATTGCTCGTTTGAACCCAACGCACAGGTTCTTGGACTTACTGGTACGCAGTCCGCGGAGATGGCCGTTCTGTCGCTCCTCGTGCTGAGGCTTTATTAGAAGTGGCTGGCTTCCGTCCACTGCTGGTGTGTGCTGCTGCTGCTGCTTGGCGATGCTGAGCTCATGCGTTCCTGCTTTCCTTGTGGGGTTGTTAGGAAGCGAAGTGGTGCAGGAGGCACTCCTGGAGTCGTGCCTCTACTGGACAACCAAGACAGCGCCTCCTGGTCTAAAGGATGCCGAGTTTTCCCGCGAGTGGTGGCTCTATCAGCAACGGCTGGGGGACCCGAGAGACGGGTGCTCGTTTGATGGCGAGGTCAGCTAGCCGATTTTCTTTAAATCAAGTATTGGGGTCTAGGCGTTATGGAGTTTAGGCTGGGAGGTAGCGCGTGTGTCTGTGTGTGTGCACGGCAGATCATGATGGGTTTCCTCTCTGTAGGTGGTGTTTGTTGAGAGGTTCGCCTAGTGGTATACTTTTTGCGCATCGCGGCTGCACCTCTTTTCCGTCTTCTTCTTCTCCTGCGTCTCCCTTTGGGCTTCGTGCACCTTCAGGGAAAGAATGCATGGGGTCCTACATGTTCTCGCCGAGTGCTCTCGGAAGTCCTCTCGGGGGGGCAGCTACGGGCTGTCGAGTTGTGCATGGCTGATGAGAATGGACGCCGTTTGCTTGAATTCTCCAAAAACAACCGTGGATGGACAGTTGTGGCGGTGACCATCAATGGCGCGCGGTATGTCTTGGTGTATATATATATATATATATATATATATATATATATATATATATATATATATATATATATATACGCATACCGCACGCACTCCGACGTCTCCCCTGTTCCCTCTAGCCATGGCGCCCCTTCCTCCCTTTTCCGTGGCCTTCTCACGTGTTCCTCTTTTCCTGGCCGCTATACCGATCACCCACTACCTTTTCCCGCTACAACTTCCCGGAAAGTTGTAGCGGTCTTTGGCTGCCTGGCCGCCCGTGCTCTGCATGCGTGCACAGGTATAGCGGGCAGCTCACGCCGGAGTCGGTGCTCCGAGCGATCTGCTCCGCAACAGCACACCCTCTTACCAACAAGTACCGCTCAGAAGCATGCAACAGCATCGTCGTGTGAGGCCATGATTAGCAGCAAGCCAAAAAGCCGTGGCAGCAGTGTTGCCCTGCTGTTTTTACGGTTGTTGCAAGTCCCCATGGCAGCGCCAATCCTCAGGCTTCCAGATTCCTCCACGTTTTCCTGCAGTGTGCTTGTCGAAGAAGGGAGTCTCTAAAGGGTCGAATCTTGACTTCTCTGTGGCCTTTCGTTTTCATGATTGGGTTGTGTATGCAGGGACTCGCACACTCAAGGTGCACCTTGGCTGCGAGCCAATCTGGACTGGCGTAGCTTTTTCTTTGTATTGTTCCTGGTGGTGGTAATTTGCGTGGGCCTGAGTTACTTGTACTACCGTTATGCAAAGCAGCAGTTTGTGGATCGCATGCAACGCCGTGTACAGCACGAAGTGCAGCAGCAGTTGCAACTGTATCACCGGATGGAAGAGCCCACCCCACGAAAGCCCGCTGCAGCAGAGTGCAACCGGCTCGTATAGCTTGCTTAGTGCGTCGCTGTTTGCTGCCCCCATTAAGATACGCCAACGCATTCAGCATGCTGCGACGCCGCTTTTCCACAACCGCATTTCCGGACAGAAGGGTGGCACTGGGTTTGGGGCTGTAGTGGAAATTCCGAACCGCTTGCTATTGTCCGCGGTTTGCATGTCTGGGCTGCGACGCACAGCTGTGGCACGCCAGCTAATCAATTTCTTCTGGTAGTGTTCTTCGCCTTGATGTGCTGCGCTTTAGTTTCATTTGATGTGGCCTCGTTTGGCTTTAGGCCTCGATTGGGGACGAGAGCTGTGGCAGGGCGGTAACGGACGACTCCATGCCATAGCCGACGCCTTGGTGTATATGCTGAACGCAGTACACTCCTTTTCACTTGCGCACTTTTGCTTGTCTATTCTTACCTATTTTGTGGGCCTACACCTATGTCTGCTGTTTGGGCATAGCCTCCCCTACGGATGTGCGTCCTCATCCAACCTCGTGTAGTCAATGCAGGCACTACTTTAAAGGCCATCTCCTGCAGCGCTCTAGTAGTTCACTTTGCCGCGGCGTGATTGCTGTACATTACCCGTGTATTTGACAGCTTTGATTTTACGGGCCTCGTTAACTGCTTTTGCAAAAATACAGAGGGCTTCCCCCATGGCTAGAGACAGTGGTAGCTTTACACATCCCCGACTCTGAGTCCAAGTTCACTCACCCCGCGTGGTACCCCCACGTGCAAATTCTATGGTCCATTGAGTGTCTTTAGTGTCTTTCTGCATTCACTTTTTTCTTGGAAGGAATAACATGCCCCCTTAGAGTTACATGCTGGCCACTCAGATGGATCGCTCATGCGGCCATAGAGCGACGTGCTCATGAGCTCTGGACTCACTTGTAATACGATTTCACAAAATCCAAACAGCGCTGTACGCTTTCTGACTTGCTGCTCTTGCCACCTTCGTCAGATGTCCTGCAGGTGCCGAGAGGCAACTCTGCTGACTGTGTGGATTAAACTAGTAGCACCCGAAGGTATCGTACTGTATGCTGCATGCAGTTGAGCAGGCAACCACAGAAGACGTGGATCGCACTTTGTTGTTACACATCCTTCTTACTTCAACAACAGCTACTGCATTGTACAAGCGACCTTCAAGGGATTTTTGACACCGCTTGCATTCTTGCCTTTGGGGAGGGAAAGGTGTTTGTAGCGGGCTCCACTGCATTTCAGCACTTTTTCAATTTAGTTATCTCCTCTTGAGAACTAAGGGTTTGTAGAATAGCGTTGGCTGACTATAATAAGATTCGATATCGCGTAAGCATGTGCTAGCTGCTATATGCAAATACCTTCGGCCCTCAGAATGCTTCAAAGGATCAGGAACGCTCACTCTAGCTGCCCCTAAACCTTCATGTTTGAGGCTCGAGTTATAAGGGCTGGGAGAACAGAAAACAACGTCTATTCACTTCCCAGTAGGGATGCGATACATTTAGAGCTTATAGGCCCCTTATAGAAACCTTGTGTACAGCGTCGGAGCTGGTACAGCCACTTAGTTTGATGCTGCTATTCGTCAGCTGATCCACTCGTTGTGACTGTAAAGAATTGCAGTGTTTCCCGACAGCACTTTTTTGGTTTCTTTCAATTTGTGTGGAAACTCAATGATTTAACTTCCTTTGGCAACAGTTTGGTTTTAATGCTTTCTAGCGATAGATTTAGAGGGTGGCACGACGCCTGGTGGGGCCGCAGAACCCGCTCTACAGGCTGATGCAGGCACACTATCCCCACGGCTGATGGACAGGCCTGCCCTATCAAACCATCAAATCTTTCATGATATGCTGAGGCGGTTGTACTCGTTAAAAACGGATGGCGGCCACAAACTGGGGTAGCCACTCACAGATTTCTTCTTCTAGCTGAA